TTTGTATCAAATACAATTAGTAGAATCGTTTGCCGCCTTCAAAATCCATGTACAACGAATATTAACGAAGATATTGATTTTTTTTGTTTTTTCAACCCCTTTTCTACCCCCTTAGACGGCCTGACAAACTATGAGTTCAATACTTTTCTATCAAATACAATCAGTAGAATCGTTTTCCCGCCTTCAAAATCCATGTACAACGAATATTAACGGAGATATTGATTTTTTTTTGTTTTTCAACCCCTTTTCTACCCCCTTTGACGGCCTGACAAACTACGAGTTCAACACTTTTGTATCAAATACAATTAGTAGAATCGTTTGCCGCCTTCAAAATCCATGTACAACGAATATTAACGAAGATATTGATTTTTTTTGTTTTTCAACCCCTTTTCTACCCCCTTAGACGGCCTGACAAACTATGAGTTCAATACTTTTCTATCAAATACAATCAGTAGAATCGTTTTCCGCCTTCAAAATCCATGTACAACGAATATTAACGGAGATATTGATTTTTTTGTTTTTCAATCCCTTTTCTACCCCCTTAGACGGCCTGACAAACTATGAGTTCACCACCTCCCTATCAAATTCGATTAGTAGATTCGTTTGCCGCCTACAAAATCCATGTACAACGAGTATTCACTGAGATAATGAGTTATTTTCGTTTTCAAACCCCTTTTCTTTCCCTTTAGACGACTTGATAAACTATCGATTCACCACCTCCCTATCAAATTCAACTCAGGCTCTCACCCCTCTTCAGTCGTTCTATGAAATGCGTTCAAGTTCCATCTGAAATCGGGTGGAATTGCTGAACACATTTTCGGCGATAAATTTTTCTCGGTGTATTTTGTGGATGTGGCTAACTTCACTCCCGTGAAAATATCTGGCTTGTTCAAACATCTGTAATTCTCGAGGTAATGCTGTAAATGATAGTATTATCCAGTATCACTGTTTAGAAGTTTGTAAAAAAAAATGTTTACCAGCGTTCATCAGAAAATTACAGACGATTCTGGCATGCCTAACAATTTCTTGACGTTGTTTCACGTTTTCAATACTGTCCGACCTTTTGGCGTAAATCTTTCTTGCCGTTTTTGCAATGTCTGCCAGAGAAATGGAGGGGTGGGAGTGATCTTTACTGACACTCTTCCTACTAGCAACTTCAACCCGTTCTGGCACTCACTTTCCACTCACACGCTCGCCTGACGATTTTTCTTTACCACTATTGAATCACAAACTGCGTGAGTTGGAAGTGCCAGACTGATGCTGGATTTCTCAATTCTGTAGTTATTTATCATTTATCAATGCAACACAGCTTATTTTTGCCAAAGTAAACATTTCAATGAGAATTCTGTTGCCTGAAAATCAAACGGAAGAAATTGACTTTTTTTGAGTTAATTTCCTAATGGCAACAAAAAGATGAATGTTTAGTGAATTTCAACCCAAATAAATGCTTGAGTGTAAGTCAGAAAGACAATTCAATGAATGCCTAAATCACACAATTGTTGATGGGTTTCAATTTTTTCTACTAGAAGACTCCAAATCACAATGTTTCCATAGAATGATAATTTTCTGACAGCACAAGATGAAGAAAAATTTTCATAAATGCCATCTGCCACTGTAAAACTTAGGGCAACCTTTGATTTCTGTTATAATGACGAAATCACAACGGCTTATGGGCTTTTCTATACTTGAATTAAATCGTCACCATTAACAATTCGACGGAAGCTCATTCCTAAAAAAATTCATCACCTAGAGAACTCTGGCTCAAGTCCTGGTTCAACAAGAACTGTTCTAGAGCTGTTGTCTTGAAACAAACAGCCTACCTACGTTGGCGGAAAAACCCAAATCTCCTGACTAGGACAGAATATTTTTTAAGACAAAAACAACTGCAGCCAAATAATAGATGCATCAGAAGAATCATCCATTGCCAAAATTATAAACCCCAACCAATAGATTGCCCCAATGGCTCCCGTTCGTTTTGGTCCCTCGCTAAAGCAGTCTGAAGGAATTTCATCGAAATTTCAGTTTATACCCACCACTCTCCAAAGCCGACGGCACATTAGCAACAACAACGTAAGAGAAAGCAACCATTTTTGCAGATATGTCCGCAGATTTTGAAAATATCAATTGGGGAGGTTTTGGCGTTGCTGATTCTGAATCTGATAAAAAAAGTTATTTGAAATACTGGTATTGGTAAGTGTGGATGGTGACAGATGCGCTGCGACCTTATTTGATCTATTGTGCCACATCTTCTTCTGCTATCTCAAGGTCATCTTGTTTATAGCAGCCCCTCAAGCTTCAATTCTTTCAGGAAACTAAGGCTTTTGAAGGGATCTATTTGTGGTATTTCTTCCACGGTCAGCTGTTATGCTCCCAGTATATTCGATCTTTTGTGGTGTACAGCAAAACACTCCAGCAAGATGTGGTGAAGTGTTTCTGGATGTTTCCCCTGGATGTAGAATCTGCAGGTGCTGTCCTCCTCTAAGCCAAGCTTCTCCAGATGTTCTTTGAGTATACAATGCCCCGTTAGAAATCCCATTATTGCCTTGTTACTAATTTTGCTGAGATTGATTAGTGCCTTCGATGTTGCTCGGTTGAAATTGCCGAGGAGATCTGCAGTCCTGAAAGTCTTCGCCAGCTTGTTACTCTAATTGCTTCTTCAGCTTTATTAAGTTCCTCTTGGAAATAAGAATTTCTAATGCCGCAGAATGGTTCTGGTCCGATCAGAATGTCTGCTTGTTCGTATTTGAAATAAATTGAAATGAGCCCTAATATCCTTTTCCCCAATAAATGCCTTTTTTGTACCCCTCAACATCGCACGCCTATGGTAAATGCAACTGTTTACTCTGCTAAATACTTCATTGTTCTAACATACAATCACCACCAAAAAGTCTAGCAAATCGCATCCTTAATAACTGAGATATTAGGTTGTATTCATGTAAAGCGGGACAGACTGTATACAGGGTGAGTCATGACTAACTAGCCATATCCTAATGGCGGATAGAGGAGGTCAAGGTGAGTTGATATATATGTGAAAAAATATATTTTGCCTATTCGTAACAGAAATACAGGGCATTATTTGAATTCGGGGCGAATCTTTGATGAACGATATTTCACACGAATGTCTCAATGTTATCGTCTGAAAATGACCAGCAACCAGCAACCCACCTATACTATTAACACTCCATAAGATGGCCTACTATGGAAAGAAATTCCAGAGACGGACTTGGGAAATTCATTTTCTTTATAGACAAGGTTTCGTTCAATAAAAAATTCAGGACCAGACTTGATTTTTAGAAAAAAAACTACAAAACAATTATAATTTTCGAACAAGCTTTGTCTATACCTCAACAATCTTCAACGAAGATTCTCGAAATATCCTTCTCTAATTTCTGCACATTTTCAGTTCCTCTCTGGTGTTGACTTCATTTTGATATACCAATCGTTTCATATGTCTCCATAGATAATAGTCTAATACTGTTAGGAGACCTATGGCCAAGAATGAGGACCGCCACGACCTATCCAGGGATTAGAGAATTGGGTTTCTAGGTATTCTCTAACTTGTATTGAGTGATGTGGAGGTGCCCCATCCTGTTGAAAGGGAATACCTCTTTCAATCCATTTGCTTACATCCATCACGCCTTTTTTTCAGTGCTTTCTGAATCGTGAAAACACCAAACTCACAATTTAATTCGCTGATTGAGAGAGTTCACATGCAATGAGATCATATTCAATAGTTCTTCAAAAGTTCCTCTATGTAGTATGAGTAGGCACGTATATCTGATTTGGATAGAAATCTTTCACCTTAGAGATAATTCCTCATATTGAGTACAATGTTTCCACATTTCCACATGTAGAAGCAGATTTCAATTGGAAATTAGTTATGTCCATATTTCAAAGGTCTCTTCCAGAAAATCAAGTCCGGTCCTGGATTTTTCCATCGAATAGAGCATCTTCCCAACTCTTATGATACACCTATATGTAAGAAATAAATTATGACATTTATAACGAAAATTAATTTTCCAAGTCCGGCACTGGAATTTTTTTTCCATAGTAGGTCATCTTATGGAGTGTCTGTAGAGGTAAGTTGCTGATGAATTTCAGGCGATAACATGGGGACGATGCTGAAATATCGTTCATCGAAGTGTCGCCCTGTATTTCTGCTACGAATAGGCAAAAACTATTTTTTCACATACAGAGAAGTGCACAAACTACGGCTAAGACTGTAACTTTTGAATTATTCGAGATAGGGTTTTGAAAATTGGTAGGTAGCTAGTACATGAAATTGCTCATTAATTGACGAGACAATTTCTGTTCTATCACTTCCGATTTTACTGGAAACGATTCCATACTTTCGATTTTTAAATGGGACACCCTGTAATGTACTCCATAATCGGTTAGGGATTGTCATAACAAATTCATCGATACCGGGTTTGATGGGGTTATTTCAAACGATTACGCAGATATTCGCGTTCTAAGTTTACATCTGCTAAATGAGTGTGACAGAGAAAGAAGTTTTGATGTTGCGAAGTCACACCCATTGAGCATATGGAAACTTCGAACGCAAATATCTTTTTAATCGTTGAAATAACCCTATCAAACCCGGTATCGTTGAATTCGTCATGATAAGCCCTAACCGATTATGGAATACAATACAGGGTGTCCCATTTGAAAATCAAAAGTTGGGGTCGTTTCCGGTGAAACTGGAAGTGGTTGAGGAAAAAATGTTTCATTTATTAATGAGCATTTTGGTATACTAGTTGCCTACTAATTTTCAGAACCCTATCTAGAATAATTCAAAAGTTACAATCCTGGCCGTTTTTTGTGCACTTCTCTGTATATATCAACTCACCTCGACTTCTATCCGCCGTTGGCTTTGGCTGGTTAGTCATGACTCACCCTGTAGGAAACTTTCTCAAAGTTCACAATGAGATGAAAACCCCACCCTGTAGGGAACTTCCCCATTGAATTCGGAATATAGCCTCCAATATCTTCCATTTTAGATACGGTGAAAATGCCGCTGAGGCATTGAAAGACCCCAATTGGCACTGTCCAGTTTGTAGGGGGATATGCAACTGTTCTTTTTGTAGAGCTAAGGAAGGAAAAAGGCCGACCGGTATTTTGACTCCGATGGCGCATCAAAACGGCCATAAGTCTGTCAAAGATTTCTTGGAAAGTTTGAACGGCAAAGGTGAGAAACTGTTTTTTTTATTGGTACCCTATTTTGATTAGATTAAAATCGCCTCAGAGTGTTTTTTCCATCTTTTGGAGCGCACGAAAGGGAATTTCTATAATTCCTAAAAACTTTTAGAGGTTATAAGTTCATGGGAATACTTTCATTGGCATATTGGCATAGAATTACAAAGTTTCGCCCGTTCAACAGACGAACTTTCAAAAAAGCGCGTTTTTTTAAAGTTACCACAAGTATTTACATCAACAACACCAGCAATGCGAATCATTCCACCCCATTTACGGCCTTATTGAAAAAAACCGTTATTGTACAATTTTTTTCTGAAAATGTATTCATTATCCAACATTCGAAAAAATCTTTCAAGGTCAAAAAATATATCACCAAAAATGACATATTCATAGACAACATAGGCTTGAACTGGTAAGTGGTTGATTTTTTTAATTAAATTATTTTATCCGTGATAGATTCTGAAGCAATCTTTTTTTAGATGTATTCTACATTTAACACATATTATAAATAATGTTCGACTTTTTCACTTCATGCATCTTTGTTTCACTTTTGCAAGATTTTCAACTATCATATCATCAGCTCTATCGATTCCCACTCTAGTTGGAATGTTATTTACAAGGTATTCCTAAAGTTCTCCTATTCATAGAAGCACCATCACCCTCTCATACAAACTGAGTTGAATAATTTCTCCACCTTTTTTTATCCCTTGGAGCGCTCGAAATGAAATTCCTATGATGTTCTTAGAACATCGTGCATTCCTCTGGAGGATAGGGAGAGGAGGTAGGTGTTGGAATTTTTTTAAACTCTATAAGCTCCTCTCTGTTCTTAAAGGCCTTCACATTCTCCAGAGGACATACTTATTCGCCTGGTTATCTCTATAATGCCACCTGATGCAGAATACTGCTTGCCCGCTTCGCGTCGTTCGGGTCAACGGCATTCGCGTGCTAGATCTCATAACTAAGAGATCCAGGATGAACAGAGCTGCCCGAATTGTCAGCAGGAGCGGGACAGTACTGTTTCGATCCACCAGGTCTCATCAGCCGCTCTCGGTCTGCTGACAACTGGGACAACTCTACGCTTCGGGTATATCACCTATTTCGAAGACGCAAGGTATACCATGAAGCTGAAGTCATGTTGTAGCGATCTAGTGGCAAAGCTCTAAGGTAGGATCCAGAGATCGCGACACACACTGTATGGCGCTGCCATCTATAGTCACACGTACAGACCCATACGTCTATACGCTACAGAGTGGTACTACAAGTACTGCTGACAACTGAATAGGTCGGTGAAAAAATCCACTCAACCATGTCAGGTAGTGCCATCTGTCAGCAGAGTATGGTTCACTTGCGGATTTTCATTAGATTGTATGAATCAAACCATCATATCATACTTTTCATTAATATCGTAAACCGTCATTGTTATAAAATAAATTAAATATTTCGTATCGGGAATTAGAAATAGGTACCAAAACAGCAAAAATATTTCACTAATAATCAGAAACTGACAATAGCGCGTGAAGTTTTTGACATTTTGCTTTTTGTTTCAAACAAATTAGCCATAGCCTACCTATTATAATTAGACACAGAAGAACATTTTTGAAAATCTGAAATTCTGAGCTTGTTTTTGAAAATAATTGTATTGTAATTCATAAAAAAGTAGCACACTGTCGTGAAAACCGCAATGCTCTATCTTTACTGACAAGGAAGATACCCCGTAAAAGTGCCCAAATTGGGATACCCTGTATAATGATTTTGTTATAAAATTCACGAATAAATGAACATCAGAATAAAAGGAACTTCCCCATATCTGGGACATTCTGTATGGATATCAATATATACCACTCAAAAGAACTCGACAAGCCCAGTCAGCACATTCATTCGTTGTCAACTCGTTAGTCTGTAGAACGGCAAAGCTTTGGAATTCATTGCCAATGAAAGTATTCCCAGGAACTTATAACCTTTAAAATAAAAAAAAATCCAATACCTACCTCCTCTCCCTATCTTTCCTAAGCACGATGTTCTTCGAATTACCTTTCGTGCGCTCCAAGAGGTAAACAAAAGAAATGATAGTGGAACATTGATTTTTAGGTGATTATATTGATGAAGAAGACGACTCAGATAATTTGCTTGGCTTTACGAAGGATTTGAAAAACGCTCAAATGGGTGGAGGAGTTCTACACAATTTGGAATGCCAATTAGATCTCTTGGTAATCCAAAAATTGTGTGAGAAACTCGAAAATCATGATAGTTTTAGATGAATTTTTTAAAATATGAATGCTCAATAATTATTTGAATTCTGCATTGACACAAAAAAAATCGAGACTAGAGGAGAAATTCCATGACGATTAATAGAATGTAAGAATAAAAATGTTTTGTTTTCAGTATCGGCTACAAAAATACTTTAGTCATGTTCGGTATTTACATCGCAGATTAGAGCAGATTCTAGTCACGTGGTCACCGATAGATCGGAGCAATCGGCATTAAACGAACGAAGTGGATATTTTGTTGAAAGTGTGACGGTAACCTAACCTAACCCCATTTATTTATTTGATTTATTTCCATTTCAATATGAGTATACCAGAAAATTTCTTCTTCTTGTTATTTTTCCAAAAGAATCGCAGCTAAGGTCAAATCTAAAAGAAAAAAAAAAAAATAATTTGGAATTCATCAACTAAACACATTAATTAAATGTGTTCACTTACTATTATTTGTGACAATTTCTTCATTATTCTCATCTGACACCATAAAGGTGTGTGTTTTGTCTTGCTCAGAATCAAAAAGTTGTATTTCTCTCATTATGAAAACGTTATTTTAAAAATACGAATACGAGCACAACGACGTCATACATATACATTTGAATATTAACCTCACAAATTCAGATCAATCGCTTTGCTCGGTCAAAATTTTCCGAGCATTAAGATCTTTGTCAGATCGCTCCTATTTTAATTGCCCAACGGATGAGATCTACTTCCCCTACATCTAGATGTCATAAACGAACGATTCAGATTCATCGGAGCAGTCTGATGTAAATACCGAACGCGACTATTGTTCAAGAAAAAAGTTTGTAATTGAATTCATTAAAAGCCTTGAAAATCACTGAGGAAAATCGAACAACTCATTCTAATCTTTGAAAACCAACCAAATAGCAAATTTACCCCCTCTTTCACTTGAGTTTACCTCTAACCTGCGCCATATTTCAATAAATCCCTATTTAAACTTACTGTTTTACGTTAATCTTTCAAATGTCTTTTGCCTTTGTCTTTTGTCAACGTCACTTATTCGTCAACTTGTTCTGACGCACATGTTTTTATAAAATTACCTTCAATTATTTTTTATAAAATGTTCTTGTTTCTCTTGGGACCCTGGAATATACCAATATTGGGTACAGAGTATGCATTTTTTATGTAACAATTTTTTTGTGAAATTTGAGTGATTTTATCTTCCAAATTTATCATTTTACTAAAATACTAACTAACTTCTGACCCAGTGTTGGGAGAGACCAAATATGTATCACAAAATCAGAAGAAGACTATTGTAACCTCAAAATAAAGAAGGTATTTGTAAAGAAGGTATTTGGAGTACCAGGGCTTCATTGGGAAGTTGATGGTTTCAATTTTGGAGTACCATCGTCCTTTGTTTATGGTAGACGTTTTTGAGGATCTAGAACACACTTTCTTTCATTGCCCAATTAACATGATACCGAACATAAATATTATAATGAATTGAGAAGAATCGGAATACCGAACAAGTCAACAACTTTATATGTTCATGCTTGTACGAATTCCGCAAAATTTATATATGCGAATCGCAAAATATGGAATTTCTAACAGAATTCGACGTTCATTTTCTGTGATCAGAGTGTATCAAATAATTCTGATAATGAAATTTACACAAAATTATGATTCATCCCGATGTAGGTTGATGTTATTTTCAAGGAATATCAAAGAATAAAGAGGAGGAATGATTTCAGTCAAATGCTTCAAACTAAGATGAAAGCATCCATCCTGCGGAAAAAAAGTCAAATGAAGAAATGATGAATAATATAATTATAATTGTTTGTTTAGTCTATTGTTTTCTCGGCCTGCTCCCTGATTCCCCAATTTCGAGGTTATCAAAATAACAACAACACATTCAATGCATACTGTGTGGTTATGATTCTATCCGAATTCGTGAAAATGTTTTAATATTACAACTTCATTGCTATATTTTCAGCCGCCATTTCACGGAATTCGTACATTTTCATTCTCATGCCACCTGACCACAGTTTGAGAAATTACTTCCTTAAATTGTGACCTGACCTATGGGAGCTAATGATTTTCAGTTGGTACCATTTCAAGAAAATATCGCTTTCTTTTCTAGCTCTTGTACTCCTTTACCTCTTGTTTACCACACCCGATAATATCTGGTGTATTTCTAATGATGAATATACTTCTTGTGCAAAACTTTTTCAGGCTCAAGTACTTTTTTATAAGTGTGTTTCATTTTATATAAATAATATATTTTTTTGATAAATTTTGTTCTTTCAATTCAAAATTATTCACCTAGGTACCAATCTACTGATGGTTTTTTTCATAAGTAATACCACAAAGTGATACTATTTTGCCGGAATTATTCGGCGACTGTTACGACACCTTGTTGCCTAATAATTTCGCCGAATGACATTGTTTATCAAAACTTCCGAGCCGTAGGCGAGAAGTTTTGGAATAATGCCATGAGCCAAATTAAATGAGCAAGCAAGTATGTCATTGACGAATATTTCCAGGCAAAATAGTATCAGGAGTTGTATTCGTATGAATATTCACGAATGAGACAGTGAATCAGCGGCTTGCGAGAGTTGTTCACACTGCATCCATCATTCTGGCTTCCGACATAATTGACGTTATGAACGTCAAAGATTTTACCGCCTAAAAAACGAGGTCGGTTGGTCACGTGTGGGTCAATTCGGCTTCTGGTATTGGTAGAGCAAGTCCGATAGAATACAGTAAAAAAATATCGCTGTAATTTTTTTTATGTTCTGGTTCCCACAAAAGGGATATCCTGTAATGTTCAGAGAACATCGTGAGAACCAAGGGAAATAAGGTAGGAATTGGTGTTCTTGAATTTCTGGAGGTTATATGCCTTGGGAAACACCTCCCTTGGCAATGTGTTCTAGAGCCTCGCTGTTCGTTGGATGAACGGGTCTTTGGAAAGAGATGTTCTGCAGGTCTCCAATGTGACCACGAAGGGGTGCGAAGCCTCAACTCGACGGCTTAATCTCGCGGGGACTGCCAAGGAAGAAACAATTGTTGATATTTCAGAAGAGCATCGTCCATGAAAATATCTATAAAATAGAGCCAGATCGCCAACTTCTCTACGGTGTTCCAGAGAAGTCAGTGAGTTTGTGAGCGAGTCATCACCCACACGAGACGAATTGCCCTCTTTTAGACAGAATCCAACAGTTTCGGGGTATGTTTGGGTGCTGCACTCCAAATATGGGAACAGTATTCCAGGACAGGTTGGATCTGTGCCTTATAGATCATAAGCAGCTGACTGAAAGTAAAATAGCTCCTGCTGGCCCGAAACAGAAAACCAAGTTTTTGGGATACACTTTTAGCTGATAGTAATACCAAGCATAGAAAATGGATGTCTTCAAAGGTATGGTTGCACCTGACAAACTTATGTTGGGCACAGTTACTATTTTATACTTACACCTATTGCTATCCTCTCAGTATCTTGTATTTTTTGTTGTTTTACGTATTGAAAATTTCAACCCAATCGGCCAAACCGTTTAGTAGTTGACGTACTGACAGCAGCGCCACCTCTACCACGTCCAATTTCTAAATCATCAAGGAAACCATCGAAATAATATAAAATTTCAACCCAATCGTTTCAGCTGTTTAGAAGTGATGTGAACAAGATAAGTACGGAAGTATAATTCTCAATACCCGTTGTCCTATATTACCCGTTGATGGATACCCTTTTGAAAGAATATAAGGTTTTGAACTCACCTCCATCTTTGAGAGCTGGTAGGTCTTCTTTCACTAGTTTCACATCTGTTTCTTTCGGAAAACCATCGAACTGGTTTTGGAAAATAAATACTTTGGACGATACATTTCTGTATGAATATGTTGGATTTGTCATAGATATGAATTTCCTTGATAGGGTAAACATGATCGTAATGAATTTCTTGAGCTGCAAAAAAGGATTTGGATGTCTCAAAATATGTTTAACTGTCAGACTAAATAACAATGAAGTGAAACCCCGATTGACCCGATTCATTCATAAATCGTTGATCAGTTGTATGCTAGCAATATAATCCTAAAATCTACGATCCTCTTCACCCCACTATATCCGTTTCACCCCCATTCGACGGTTGCAGTTGCTGCTTAGTAGTTGATAGTGATTTTGGATATTCTGAGAATATTCCTAGTAGGTGCCTGTGTGGTGCCAAAATGTCACAAGAACTGTGTGTGGTGGGGGGGTATGGCATACCCCAAAAGAAATAATATTATATAGGTACATACATTGTGACTTTACTTTTTTGTACTTTCACATTTTTCGGTTATTCAGATACCTACACATAATTGTCTAGAGAACATTTCAGCTGACATTTTGATTGTTCAGAATGAATAATTATTATCAACATGGGAAAACCACATTTCCTGTTTAATTTATAAAATTACCATAATTTGATGTGACTCAAATCTGAATAGTACTCATCAAGCCGAATGACAAAATTACAAAAAACAAAATACGAAAAATATAGAATGTGGAAATATTCACAAATAAAAAAAATATGGTGGTTCACCTATAGCACAATTTGAACGTGAAAAATTTGCATGTTCAAACTGTACTAATTTTTCACCAGGACACCCAGCGAACACAAAAACATCTTAGAGATGTTAAAAGTACGAGATTTCGAGACATTGAACCTCCACTGCGATGTTCTGTTCACGCATGAATAGAACCATTATAGAACAGCCAATGTCCGCCGCAGGCGGCAATTATCGAGATGTCCTTGATATGTCACAAAACTACCTTCTCCCTAGTTCTTTTTAAAGCCTTTTCATGGACACAACAGAACATTTTCAACGCGTCTTGCGCACATTAAATCGCTGTAAAAAACATTTTCGAGGTACTTTTCTGAAGCCTTTTGTCAAAATGAACTTTTGCATTAGGATTCCATTTCCCTTGAATGAAAAAATGCATTAAAAATAGATTGAACATGAAACTATTTTCTTGATATGAAATAACCTTCTTAATCAGTGCTTACTACACACAGACATATAATTGGAAATAGGTTTCCCAATTTTTGAAATGTTCTCCACAATGCATAATTTTGAAACTGCGGAGAAGCTGTGTATTGATGAATTCGTACTTTTATATATTGATTACACTGAGGCACCGAAAAACACATCTTGCATCTGATGGTCATTATTACAAACTAAATAAGTCTTCTAACACAATAAACTCCACCAAATTCCTTTCTGTTCGTTAGCAGCGTGATATAAGCGTGACACGCTGCAAACGCGAATGCCAATTGCGAACAAGAAGAACAAAATCGAAAATAAATCAGAATTCATCGTATTGTGACGTAAGCATGAGACGTTGTGGTGGGGCAAACAAAGAAAGGGCACAAAAGAACAAAAACCATATTACGCCTCAAAAAAACATCCTCATGCCTACATTTCTGAAACATCCCAAAACATACCAGGGATACCTCTCAGTATATTTTGTACACCAGCGCCAAATTACTTGCTACCATCGAACGTAGAATTTTTTTTGTGGCTCTAGACTTCCACCTAACCTATGTCTAACATGTCTGGGATGTGATATATCAGTTTTTCGTACTTCCGGGCCTAAAGTGACAACTTCACTCCCTTGTGACAGGTACTAAAGTGTCACATTTAATCCCTCCGGGATTAAATATTGACGAAACTCCCGGAACGATTAAATCACAAACAAACGAATTTAAGGGATATTTTATTGAAAAATATAATTAATTAGAATGATAATTAACGTTAATATTCAAATTAATATTGTGACAGTTCGTCATATTGACCAGTCTTTCCTGGGTTAATGCAGCAGGTAACTGACGAGTAACAGATAGGTCCTTTTCATATTGAACTGGTGTTTGTTTCGAAGATCCTGCGGAAACAGGAAGCGAGAATGAGGACTGTGGCATAACTATAGTGGACGAATCGGCGACTTGACCAAATATTTTATCTGAAATTTTTTGTTTATTTTTAATAGACGATTCAATATATCCCTCGGCCACGTTGGAGGATTTCCATCCTCCATGTCTCTTCAGCACGTCTATTGTTGCTCCCGAATCAGCTAACAAAGACGCAGATGTGCGTCTAAAACAATGTCCCGTATAAGACGTCGCATTTTCTAATTTCAAGAAAGCTGCTATTTGCCGTGGAAATGTACTAAACATGTTTTTTCCTACTACTCGCGTAGTACATTCTTTGTTGATGTATTGAACAAAAAATTTTGAATGAGTTGTCCCTGTCTTTCGCAATGCCACATATTTCCGAAATATCGCCACAAAACTGATGGCACTGTTTTCTGAATTTTTGATCACAAAATTTCGGTCAATTTTATTTTTGGTGTTTCTAATCGCAATTAGGAAGGAATCGCCCAAATCTCTCACATCGTCGATTTCTAAATCAACCAACTCTTTTCCACGACAAGCTCCCGCAACGCCCAAAATAAGTGCAACCTACAAAAAAATTGATTTCTTAAAATTTCTGAATATAAACAAATTTCCAAATTTACCTTAAGCATTAAATATTTATCATCCGGAGCCTCCCCCGTAAGAACTGATCTACCTGCTCAGACGTGAGAATTCTTGACTTCTTTGGCTTAAATCCCTCATTTCTTCTCTTCAAAAAAGCTAATAATTTTGGAAATTTACTTATATCAATATCTTCTCTAATGTTAATAACCGATTTCAGCATTGAGTAATGTGCCCAGAGAGTTGAGGCACAAACCGCTTTTGATTTATCATCGAAGTAGACTAACAGCGCATTTTCAGTAGGTTGTCTCACATTTTTTAAGCGGCACCACTTTTTAAAAGCATCGTACTGCTGCTCGTATAGTTTTCTAGATTTCGGTGGTAACAATTCTTCACCTACTTCGGCTGCTCTTTTATCAATATCAGATACACCTTCTTCACTCATGATACCAATAATTATCAATAACAATGTTTCTTTACAATGACACTAGTAATGACAATGTTTCTAAATTATAACTGTCACAACGCAATGTTACTATGGTAACTTATTTTAAAGACAGTTTATTAAATGAGTTGAAGAGAGAAAAAACTGATTGAAATTATTGAAATAATTAATAAAATCATACCGGAAGTACGAAAAGTATCGTATATACCTTGCGACTGAAGTACATTTAATCCTTCAGGTAAATTATGGCCCTCCCTGCGGTCGGGCCATAAACTTTACCTTCAGGATTAAATGTACTACTTCAGTCCCGCGGTATATAATGTACTATTGTGTGTGTGTTTGTACGTAAATTTTGACGCGTTGTCACATTGGTGCCCGTTGGTGCCTAGAATACAATACACTGCGTGGGAAATAGGGTGAATTATCTGAGTATTCAATATTGTATACAAACACGTTAGTTGTGTATTAGGTGGACGCACTAAAAACAGAGTGACTTTATTTTTCTTTTTTTTTAATTGCATTTCCCCGTTGGACCCAGCACTGAATCCAACGCCCCATAAGTCGAAACTTGTGCGGGGCTAGGAAAGCATACGTTTTTGTTTCACCTAAAAACAAGTCAAATTCATGGTGGTGTACAAAATACACCGCGCGGGAAAAAGAAAGAAGAAAATTAAAAAGTAGCTTGCTTCCGGTCGATTTACGAACCTATTCTCTCTTATTGTGATTGAATTTACCTATACAAGAGAAAGTCAAAGATTATAACTAATCTCACGACAGGAATTAATCACTTCCCATCTCGGTGTGTATACTATTTCATTAGATATCATATTATTTCAGCCATACAGAGTGCCACAGTGTTCTAATACCTTTCAATTCGTTTAGCAAGTAATGATAAAAAGAAATCGGACGCCAATGGTCGTTCGGCTATTTACGGAATTTTAGCTGCTCACTTTCGGCTGCCAAGTTCACACCGGTAATAGAAGAGAACTGCCTAAATTCTCAAGGTCGTTTATATTTACCTAACTACAAATATTTCTTGCTGATAAGTCATAAACTTACCTAAATATACTTATACTCATATTATTTTTTTCGAGATTTTAGTGCATACAAAATGTACATAGGTAAGTACTAACCTTCAGTTGAAAATCTTTGTAATTTTCTTATGATCAATAAGTAGGTAGGTTAGTATAGTGTGTAGCTCATGAAGATATGATTTGTCTGATAAAATTATTATCAATAAACAATTACCTACTTATATTTGATGTTTCTCTGGCAGTGGCAGTGTATAGTGATCCGTGAGTCGGCTAGTCGGCATCAGAACTTTTCGATACGGCTCATGCTGCAAACTCCATACATACTCGTGGGAAAAGATTATCATTTCGTCGTGCTTGTTAAACAATAGACGATATTTTATGATTGTATGTTTGTGTGTCAAGTGTTTAATTTCAACCAAAAACTCTTTACGCGGAAAGGAGAATGAATGTTACCGTTATTATTATCTCTTATTTGTATTTGTATTTGTATTTATTTATAGTGTTACTACATTGTAAAATGTTTACACTCGTCAATATATGTAAAAAAATCGTTTGATAATAAATAGATAAATGAAAAAAATAAAATAAAGGAAATAGAATAAATAAACAATAAACATGATCACATTGGTCAAACAAACATATACACTTAGTTCTATAAATATCACATTTCAGTATTGTTAACTAAAAGCTTTATAAATCTATATCATGTCATGTGTCAATAAGGCTGTGAATTCCTGAATAGAGTAGAAACATTTTCTGATCAGATATTTTTTTAATTTACATTTGAAGGGCATTAAATTTAATTTCTTCATACCTTCAGGTAATTTGTATATACCTATACCTACCCACTGTATAATATTATGTCAAGGTAGATGTATAAAGTTCAATGATTATACTAATATGAGTTTATCTATATGCATGTATATATACACGGGAATTCTCAATTTATACAGGGTGTCTCAACGTCATCATTTATACACGTATATTCTCGAAAACGGGTGACTTTATCAACGTTTTGAAAAAACTAGCTCGATTAACCACCCCTCTTCAGCACATATCTCTCTAGCACTAATTTTTTTTCAAATTTCTCATTAGCTTACGAACACTATAATGATGTAGGGGAGATACGGACAAAGTGGCATAGTTAACGTTATGAACATCCTCACATCCTGAAGTAGTTTCAAAAAATGCTTTTTATGCTCAATCGACTTAAACATCAACATATTTCAATACTATATGAAGCAACAATAATTTGAATTCAACGCCATCAAAACTCAAGCCTGTATTTTCTCTAGAAAGGCGGAACTCAGTATGCCCGACATTGTTATTTTTTGAGTTCTCTTCATACATATTGTCGCGATCAGCCCATACCATAGGCGGTACGGACTCCAGCCGGCGACTGAGAGAAACTGGATATTAAAAATATCTACACTGAGAGAAAACTTGAGTTATCATAATTGGAAATCTGATAACCGTTATTACGATATCTGCAATAAATAGGGGACAGATGTGTTCATGTGCTACCATAGATGAAGTGAATTTTCAGGTGAATTGTAGTTATGGCAGCTTATTCAATTTGCAAACTTGTATAAAAACACCGCTGCTGAATGACTACTACTTGTTCTAGTTTCTATGTTAACACAGAATGTCGAATAGGAATTATTCCCATAAAATGTTGCAGTAACTCTCCACTCTACAGTGGTTATTAGACTAACGACATAAAACAGCATGTTTTTATTACTGGCACAACCATCTTGAGGTAACGCAGTAATTCGTCTCATTTTATTATAGTTATCTGATATCTGCATGAAACCTGATATTTCGACATGCTATTGTAATGTAGCTCATTTTCAACAGTTATCCCAATATTTTTCTACTCTAGTATATTCATCAAACAGTGGTAATAAGGTTATCAACATTATTCGATGGTATGCATTATGAAACCGTGCTTTGAATTACTGCAATGAAAATAAATATCGTATCCACACTATCACTTTTCATGATCCAAGGTTATTGTTTTAAAAAAAAACAAAAAAATACGTTTAGCCTCTGAATTGAAATATTGGGGTATCTGTGGAAGTTTTTTGACATTACTCATTGAAATATCATCTATATGCATTACTGACGAATTTATTAAGAAATGAGAAGTTGAATACTTATATTTACCCTTCCTTCGGAGTTATGATGAGAAATGTCAATAAAACTTCCCTCACAGAAACCCAGATATTTTGATTCAGAATCTCATCGATCAATTTGTTTTTGAAATAAACCAATTTTAGGCCTTGAAAAGTGGGTATGGAGAATACTTCTTTCATTGCAATAATGCAATGCACGGTGTATTCCACAGATCGGTTCACAGCCAGCACTAAAACAAAACTTTGCTACATCACAGACATTCACCAACAAGACACGGCTCTTTCGATTCGGATGATCGAAACCATTGAACAATAATTGAACACGGGCACCCATGACCGAGAACAGAGAAATGAACGCGATCTGTATCTTTGTCAGCCACAATACTAATGAAACACTAGAGCGAACTGAGCCGAATTACGATTGTCGTATGATTGCCTAATAACCGTCATACATGTGAATTGCTAGAGTTATTCGTCAACGTACAATGCTAGAAACCCAAACAGCTATGATTATTGGGACAAACATTATCTGAATTCGCCAATGAGCATAATTCACAAAACGAGCTATGTCAATAAAAAATCTGAATAGACTGGAATTTATAAAATTCTCATAATGTCATAACACACCTGCGTTATGATGGTAGCAAATGTCCATTCAAGGGTATTACAAATGATTTAAGAAATCGATTTTTATAATTACAGAATGGAGAGAATACTGTTGTAATAATGAAATGATCAGGAATATGAGATTTCCTTATAAAGGTTATTACAATCAGAGCTGGTAGATATTTTTAATATCCAGTTTCTCTCAGTGTACCAGCTCTGATTGTAATAACCATTATAAGGAAATCTCCTATTCCTGATCATTTTATTATTACAACAGTATTCTCTCCATTCTGTAATTATTAAAATCGAATCATTTGTAATACCCTTGAATGGACATTTGCTACCATCATAATGCAGGTGTGTTATGACATTATGAGAATTTTATAAATTCCAGTCTATTTAGATTTTTTAATGACATAGCTCGTTTTGTGAATTATGCTCAATGGCGAATTCAGATAATGTTTGTCCCAATAATCATAGCTGTTTGGGTTTCTAGCATTGTACGTTGACGAATAACTCTAGCAATTCACATGTATGACGGTTATTAGGCAATCATTCGACAATCGTAATTCGGCTCATTTCGCTCTAGTGTTAGTATTGAGGCTGGCAAAGATACAGATCGCGTTCATTTCTCTGCTGTTCTCGGTCATGGGTGCCCGTGTTCAATTATTGTTCAATGGTTCCGATCGTCCGAATCGATAGAGCCGTGTCTTGTAGGTGAATGTCTGTGATGTAGCAAAGTTTTGTTTTAGTGCTGGCTGTGAACCGATCTGTGGAATACACCGTGCATTGCATTATTGCAATGAAAAAAGTATTCTCCATACCCACTTTTCAAGGGCTAAAATTGGTTTATTTCAAAAACAAAATGATCGATGAGATTCTGAATCAAAATATCTGGGTTTCTGTGAGGGAAGTTTTATTGACAATTCTCATCATAACTCCGAAGGAAGGGTAAATATAAGTATTCAACTTCTCATTTCTTAATATAAATTCGTCAGATATGCATATAGATGATATTTCTCCTAAAAAATCAATGAGTGATGTCAAAAAACTTCCACAGATACCCCAATATTTCAATTCAGAGACTGAACGTATTTTTTTGTTTTTTTGAAAACAATAAACCTTGGATCATGAAAAGTGATAGTGTGGATAGGATATTTATTTTCATTGCAGTAATTCAAAGCACGGTTTCATAATGCATACCATCGAATAATGTTGATTAGATAACCTTATTACCACTGTTTGATGAATATACTAGAGTAGAAAAATATTGGGATAACTGTTGAAAATGAGCTACATTACAACAGCATATCAAAGTGTCAGGTTTCATGCAGATATCAGATAACTATAATAAAATGAGACGAATTACTGCGTTACCTCAAGATGGTTGTGCCAGTAATAAAAACATGCTGTTTTATGTCGATAGTCTAATAACCACTGTAGAGTGGAGAGTTACTGCAACATTTTATGGGAATAATTCCTATTCGACATTCTGTGTTATCATAGAAACTAGAACAAGTAGTAGTTATTCAGCATCGGTGTTTTTATACAAGTTTGCAAATTGAATAAGCTGCCATAACTACAAGTCACCTGAAAATTCACTTCATCTATGGTAGCACATGAACACATCTGTCCCCTATTTATTGCAGATATCGTACCTAATAACGGTTATCAGATTTCCAATTATGATAACTCAAGTTTTCTCTCAGTGCAATCGCCGTCGGGAGTCCGTACCGCCTATGGTGGGCTGATCGCGACAATATTACTGTCAATTCGTCGTTGGATTTCTCTACAACATCCTGAAATACTATTCCACATTGCCCTCCCAGCATTTATTTCACTCTTTCCGCCGTGTCCCGAAAACAACAAAAAGGGAATACATCTTCTCAAGAAAGTTCAAATAGGATGTTTCTACACATATGCATTCTCGATGAAATGGATTCAAAGAAATACTGATAGCACACTGAGAGAAACTGGATATTAAAAATATCTACCAGCTCTGATTGTAATAACCTTTATAAGGAAATCTCATATTCCTGATCATTTCATTATTACAACAGTATTCTCTCCATTCTGTAATTATAAAAATCGATTTCTTAAATCATTTGTAATACCCTTGAATGGACATTTGCTACCATCATAACGCAGGTGTGTTATGACATTATGAGAATTTTATAAATTCCAGTCTATTCAGATTTTTTATTGACATAGCTCGTTTTGTGAATTATGCTCATTGGCGAATTCAGATAATGTTTGTCCCAATAATCATAGCTGTTTGGGTTTCTAGCATTGTACGTTGACGAATAACTCTAGCAATTCACATGTATGACGGTTATTAGGCAATCATACGACAATCGTAATTCGGCTCAATTCGCTCTAGTGTTTCATTAGTATTGTGGCTGACAAAGATACAGATCGCGTTCATTTCTCTGTTCTCGGTCATGGGTGCCCGTGTTCAATTATTGTTCAATGGTTTCGATCATCCGAATCGAAAGAGCCGTGTCTTGTTGGTGAATGTCTGTGATGTAGCAAAGTTTTGTTTTAGTGCTGGCTGTGAACCGATCTGTGGAATACACCGTGCATTGCATTATTGCAATGAAAGAAGTATTCTCCATACCCACTTTTCAAGGCCTAAAATTGGTTTATTTCAAAAACAAATTGATCGATGAGATTCTGAATCAAAATATCTGGGTTTCTGTGAGGGAAGTTTTATTGACATTTCTCATCATAACTCCGAAGGAAGGGTAAATATAAGTATTCAACTTCTCATTTCTTAATAAATTCGTCAGTAATGCATATAGATGATATTTCAATGAGTAATGTCAAAAAACTTCCACAGATACCCCAATATTT